TGATTTAATCGAAGGATGAATGAGCTGGAATAAATAGGCATGCACACACAGCCGACTTATTTGATTTGTCTACAAGTGAATGAATGGAAATGCACCACATAAGGACAACTTGCTAATACAGCTCCTTTTTCAGAGAGAGGGGGAAATTAAATAACAGATGGTTAACGACTCGATCCTTCATCTAAGCATGAAATTAAATTCAAAGTACAATACACATTTTATATTTAGCTATTTTTCTACCTGCTGCTATTATAAATTGATCTGATAGCACACAGAGTAACCACGAACAATAAACTTTACACTTCAACAACAAATTGTTGTCATTTACCTTAATACTTACTGGATTATTATGGTTGACTTTCTCCCTATCTGCAATAAAGGGGACTACTTTTTATAGGGAGGTATAAAATGGTAAAAGCAGACTTCATTGTATGCGGTTCTGATAACCCTCTTTTATTATATTCTGTGAATGTGTGTGCAGAATCAGACATACTAAACAGCACAAAAAACAACATCTATATAGTTTTGATGAGCTATATAAAGGCTGGCATGAACACTTGTTCTCACTTTGGAAAATAATGTGGGCATTTATGGAAAAAAAGAAGAAATATGAATAGAAAAGGGACAGCTTCTGTGCAAATATGCATTTAGCAGAAGTTCGACAAGATGGTTAAACACTGAGGTCGAAAGTCCTTTGTAGAGGTTCGTTGTAGATTTTTTACAGTCATTTAAATTATTTTCTGTTGAACATTCCTTCTTTGTGAAGGAGGATGGAGGTGGCCTTAATGTTTGCTCAGCAGCAGCTCTAAGAAGTTCTACACAGCTCTCTGTTTTGTTTGTTTGTCACCATTTATGTCAATTTATGCTTTTTTATCATTTGTTCGCTTGCTCAGGTAAGACTACACATCAGAGTGAAGCATACAGGCATTTTTCAGTCTATTGTTTGTTTGTTTTTGTTTGTTTTCTGTCAATCAAAATGTTCTTTGTTGCAAATAGCACTTTTGACGGCATCAAGCTGTCAACGTAGGTTTAACCATGAATATTATAATATCTCTGCTCAGCAGATGCTCTGAAGACACGTTTTGGGATAAACATGCACAAATACACCACACCTTTCCCCTCCACACGTTGCTCAGAGCTGCCTTTGTTTCTCCGTGTAAAGACCGCCGACTCTTCTTTCAGCATTCATTCACTTTCTCATTTATCTCTTTGATTTGTTCCTTATAAGGTATTTTAAGCCTCTTCTTGACCTTAAATCACCATAGCAACATCTCCTGGAACATTTTTCTTAGAGCTGGTCATACAATGGAAGACAAAAGAGGCGGAGCATTTTAGGAAGAAAGATTGTCTGTCTGTTCTTATTGTGTTTGCCAGAGATTAGGGATGCTGCTGTAAGGGTAAAATCACGAGAATGTGGGGAAAGGTGTGTGTGTGTAACTGTGAGCTGTTGGTTTAAAATGTGTGATGTTGTCTCAATTTGAGTGTTGCTACAAGAAAAACAATATTGAAATCTCAGTTGTTTCAGAGAGATTAAATACGAATGTGTTTACTTAGTTTACTTCCTATCATATATGTTTTTGTTTATAGAACTGTTCAATCAGTTTCCCCCTAAAGATTACATACAAGCTGTTGGGGGTGTTCCTCTGGGAGTTATTGTTAATATTTATGACCCACAGAGATTCACAGCTTGCTGTGTATCTTTTAATTTATCTCAAACATTTAATGCTGTTTTTCTTATCTTCATCAGATATTTCAGAAGAGGCATCAATCAGGTTCTTTTCATCACTCGGCGGCTTATACCATGAATATGTCTCATAAACATGTTATTTAATGTGAAGGACTGAGTATAAATTTAGTCTAAAATATATTTCTCTGCATGCTTAAAATATCCAGATGTAAGTCTGGTACTGAAGGACATAATTGTTGATCCAGCTATATATTGAGGAGGAAACACTGGACCTTGATAACTGGCTAAGTGTAACCTTTTTTCTGTACTATACCTTAGAAAAAGCAACATCAGTATCACTATTTTGTAATATAATTAAAGGTTTATCTATATTGCCTAAACAGGGAGGGATAAAATTTTTACTCTGGTAGCCAAGAAATTGACATTTCGTTGTCAAACTCACCTCGTGTTTTTGACAATGACAATAAAGGAAGTCTAAGTCTCTAAGTCTATTATATTATCTTCCTAATTTGAGAAAGATCCACATTAATAACCTGAACAAGAACAAATGTCCCTTTTTCAAACTCATCAAAAGATTTAAACCAAACAGGTAATTAAAACCTTCAACTATCAGGTCTAGAGATGTTGGGAGGCTGGAAGACTTTTTGTTAGTGTGACTGTTTACCAAAACAGATGTTTGCTTCATCACTTTGAAAATATTAATGTTCAGTTTTAAGCAAGGCTGTATGACAAACATATTTTTTAAAGGTTACATAGATTTAAACATTCGATTTAAACTATTTTGGACAGGCTAACAGCAGTCTATTTCAAATGTGGCATTTGAATTTGAAAGATGTTGTTGTGAGTTCAGAACCGTGGATCAGCGGCCATGGCAGGAAGATTAAACAGAAGACTATGTCTGATCAAGTAGAGTGGGCTAACCGGCATGAAGAAAAGCTGGAATCAGTACAGGAAAAAAGATGTTAATGTAACTAAATCCAACAAAGTGGAAATCCAAAACATAATTGATATGTTTTAACATGATCAGGTGATTTCAAGTCCAAGGTGTTTGCCTTTTGAAAGAGAAAATCACAAACAGTGACTCAGGCTGCAGTTAAAACTTTACCAGGTTTTTCTTATGAAAAAATAAATTCACGTGAATATTCCAGCTTTCCAGTATTGTATTTCTCAGCTTGCATTACCGGTTTTGCCCTTTTGACTCTGTAAAAGATGTTCAGTATGTTTTCAAAGATTATTGGACTTCTTCATTCAGCTAATGGCAGCATTGGTTCACTGGGATTGTTGAAAATTGATCAGCTGCCTAAAAGGTACCGGTAAATTACTTTTACTATAGTACTCCATCCTCGCTGTCCTCAACAGAAAATAATCAATGACTGGGAACATTCTGTACATTGGTTCCTTATTTCATTCCATTTGCACACTGTGACTAACTCAATTTCACAGGACAAAACATGTTTTTTTCTAAATTTGAGGTTTTGTGAAATTTTACCTCACATCATTCTCGGTTCAGATCTCTGTCCTGACCAAAGACATCACAAGATTCACTTAGGGTGTTCATTCCTTGTTTAACCATCTGAGCCTGCCCTTTCCTTCGGCTTCCTTTCATCATTTTATTATCAGATTGATGCAACCCGCCCCAACCTCATTCACTTGTTTTCATCAAGACCAGTGTCCATGAGCCCCTTCTAATGATCTCATCAGTAGTCCCATTTCACATCACATCCATCCTGGTCCTCATCACCATTCCTCTCATCTGATACATCACCAGCTACTTGTTTAGGAAGGTTTTCCTGTTTTTCTGCTCAAGGCGTCACTGCTTTGCTTAAAACAACGATGCTTTGTTGGGGTCAAATCAATAAAGACTCCCCATAATTCTAAAATGTCTCTTGACTACTCGCATTTCCAGATAAACCAGGCTGGCCATTTTAAAGCCTCACTTTTTTGTAAATAAAAAGGATTCATAAATTAACATTTATGATGTTAAAACATTTCAGATAGTCTTGAAATTTAAATCAAGTTATATTAAAAAAATATTTACTCCAATATTTGTGTATTCACTCAGATTGGATTTTTTTCCCATTTTGCTAGTTTTGCATACAATTATTGATTAAATAGTCAATTTTGATATTTGTGAGGAGTTTTGTTTTAAAGACAAAAATGACTGTGTGTTAGAGCACACAGGATAAAATGCCAAAGTTGTTTTTTTCTTTTAGGTGTCAGTTTTTCTCACCGGCTTGAACCCCCTGTCAGTCTGTGTTCTGCTATCCAATGTTTTGCCTCTCCTTTTCCCCACCCATATCCTCATATCTCGGTGGCCAAGGTTTTGCAGGACATGCCACAATTACTTTTCTCCATAGGTCAGTTCATTTAGTTTCTAACAGAGAGCCAATTATTAGCCATTCTGGTCATAGATGAGGGTGTGCCTATGTGTACCATGTTGGTTATTAAGAAGCAAGGATAGCTTCATAAACAAGCGTAACAAGTACTAACAAGGCTTTGTTCCGGTGGGGGCTTGTTTTTGTTGTGACATTAGCAGGGTTGTGCTGCTTATGACTAGTTTGGTATTCGTCTGGCAACTTAGATGGCACCAAAGTTTCAGGCTCTCAACCCCTTCATTAACATTTATTATTAAAAAAATTGTATCTGTGTAAATTGTTTTAATCACCATCATAGAAATGAATAATTTGCTATATAAGAGGTTACATCTTTTGTATTTAATCTCACCACAATCCAAAATAACAGCTAATGGCCGTAATCAAAGGCAATACAGTTTGTGGTTTGGTCCTTAAGGCCTTTGAGTACCATTCAGTACTTCATTTCTGCATATGCATCTCAACTTGTTGCTTGGCAACCTCAACAAATTTTATGAATGAGATAATTCAAAGTAATTAGTGAGCTTTGGGGTGCTATTAGAATTGGCTGGTTTACACAAAAAAAACTAACAGTTGCCTCGTCTCTAGTCTTTAGTACCTCATCATTAGCTAACGGGCTCAAACACTGCTGTCTGTAGCTTTTCAAACACAAACAGACACAGAGGCACTATGTTCCCATCGCACTGTGTTCCCATCAACCTATTTCTGGTAATGCTTCTGAAAAACAATTTCCCGTGTATTTCTTCCACATTAATTCAACAGGATGCTTTCCAAAAGTCAAGATGTGTTAAAAATCCCATTTTATTTCACTTCTGTTAACTGTCTAATTTGTCCTTTCTTTTTCATCTTGTGTGAAGCTCATTTCCTCAAAGTGACTTTTGTTTCCCTTATAGGACTCTGACATGGACTGATGGGAATATCACCCGCATCATTAAAGTGTCATGCTTAATAACACCTCCATGGAGCTGATCCAGGCCACCCAGGTTCCCTTTCTGACTCAGGAGGATTCTGCAGCTACTCTGAATGACACCTCCATCCTGCCTTTTCCCCTTTCCGTGCTCCTTTCTACTCCCTCTGAACCGTTCCTCAGCATCAGCCAAACTGAGAATTCATTTCTGTATAACATCAGCTGTTATAACTGCACTACACCTACCACTGGATCCCTCCCTGGTTTGGCAGGAATCTTCATCCCTCTCATTTACGGGATAGTCTGCATTGTCGGTTTGGTTGGAAACACCCTAGTTATCCACGTCATCGTCAATTACACTAAGAACGAGTCGGTCACAAACATCTACATCCTCAATCTGGCCATCGCAGACGAGCTTTTTATGCTGGGTCTGCCCTTCTTGGCGGCGCAGAATGCCCTGCTCTCGTGGCCTTTTGGCTCACTGATGTGCCGCGTGGTCATGACGGTGGACGCCTTCAACCAGTTCACCAGCATCTTCTGCCTGACCGTGATGTCCGTGGATCGGTACCTGGCGGTGGTCCACCCCATCCGGTCCTCCTGGTGGCGCAGACCCCGCGTGGCGAAGGCCGTCAGCGCCACGGTCTGGGTGGGTTCCTTCCTGGTGGTGCTGCCAGTGGTGGTGTTCGCTGATGTTCTGAAGGATGACGGGAACTGCAGCATCGTGTGGCCCGAACCAGCAGAAGTGTGGAAGACCTCTTTTATCGTGTACACGTGCACCGTCGGCTTCTTCTGCCCCCTGCTTGTCATCTCCTTGTGCTACCTGCTAATCATCATCAAGGTACGACTTTTATTGTGGCAAAAGCCAAGAGCAAATATTTCATTTGGAATGAAAACATGCTAATATTGCAGAACATCTACAACTTTTAAAACCAGTTTAAACGACAGCACCATCTTCCTCTTTTTCTCCTGATTGGAGGAGCAGACTTGTGAATCATGTTTCCCTTGAGTACCATCGATTTAAAGCAAGCAGGTTCCTGGTTTGAATCCGCATGGGACCTGGGACCTTTCTGTTACTGTCAGTCCAAAAACAGGCATGTTAAGTTGGTTAAGTGAAGACTCCTAAAACCCTAAAGACTGAATGTGTGTGTGGTTGTTTGTCTCTGTAAGGGTGTACCCTGCCTCTCAACCAATGACTGCTGGGAGAGGCTCCAGCCCTTCCCCTAGAGACTCTACTAGAAATAAGGGGATTAGCAAATGGATACTTTTGTACGATTGAGTCTTTTGGCTACAGAGACCAATCTGTGCTGTGGGATAGAAATGCCAATGTTTGCTCAAGAATGTAAGGTAATGAATGCCCTTAAGAGAACTTTATCACAAAGATTGTCCTCCATAACAGGGTTAAATTAGTTAAGATCACTGTCAAAAGGTAACTTATGAAAAAAACTAACACAAAACCATGGCTATAACTCAATGTAATAAGGGAAGTCTGTAATCATGTCATATTATGAAGAAGATGGTGGAAGTATGCTTTTGACTGCTATGGGTGGAAGTTCTCTACTTTCCTTTTCTTTCTATTAAAGGTGAAGAACGTTGGGAAACGGACACAGACCACATCCTCTCGGCGCAGAAAATCCGAGCGAAAGATAACCAGGATGGTGGTCGTTGTGGTAGCCGTGTTCGTCTTCTGCTGGCTACCGTTCTATGCCCTCAACATCCTGAACCTCCTCGTGGTCCTGCCCGGAGACTTCAGGGGACTCTACTATTTTGTCGTCGTGCTTTCTTATGCAAACAGCTGTGCCAATCCAATACTGTACGGATTTCTCTCTGACAACTTCAAGAGAGGCTTCAGGAAGGCCTTGTGCCGCACCTCACGCAGGGTCAAGAGCAACGACAGGGCCGGCACCGAGGTACAGCGACCAACGGAGGAGTGGGGCGGCATCCTGCTCCAGCCACAGAAAAGTGAGGGAATCACCAACATGCACGTGAAAAATTGTGGGGAAAATGATATAGAGGAGGAAATCGTCGGAGCGGAAGGGCCCATACAAATGAGAGAGTTGAACGCAGAATGCAGAGCATCCCAAAAAAAGATCTACTGTGAAGCAAAACAAAGTTTGAGAACACAGGTTTTACAAAAGGGGAGTCCTGAGGTGGGCTCGGGCTTTGAAACTGCAGACTCATTGTCCTCTAAGGCTGAAGAAGTTGTGAACAGCAACACAAAGCCTGAAGAATTTCTTGACAAAAACTCTGTGCTTGATATTAGCTATCTGTAACAAAGCGGACATATTTTGTCCATTTTGGTATGTGACGTTCAAATAATGACCATGTTTAAAATGTGCAAGTCTTTGGAACCCGTTTGCATTTCGTAATAATCTGTTATTATGCAAATAGTATAATGTGCCCTGTCAGTGTAAGCATGATATGATGTTTGCAGACCACAAAAGCACCATAGATGTTAATGGGAAAATAAGTTGGTTGGGTGACAAAAATGTAATTATCTAGAATATTAAGAAAAAAAAAAAACGAAAGCCTCGTGAAATAGCCAGCAATATCATGCAGTCTCAGATACTTCCTCTTAATCATGAGAACATGAATGTTTTACACGCTCTGCTCCTTTCAAACTGAACGGGTAGATTTAAAATCTTCAAGAACTCATCCCACCACACACATTTCGGTGTGGAGGGTTTAATTCACTTTGCACATCAACATGCACAGATATGTCAACAAACACTTGTCCATTTAATTGGATCACCAACCACATCCAAGTAAACATTGCATGGGAGCTAAGAAAGTATCTCAGTTTCTGCTAAAGCTGTAGAACGTGAGAAGGAAACAAATTGCACCGGATGAATTTACTACAGACATTGTCTTTAAGTCATATATATGCAAATTTTGGCGGATGATGCTGGGCTTTAAACCATTAAGATTTTTCACCCACTGGAAATGCCTAATATTAAATCAATGACTTGGAAATGCTTCAGTCGACCATGGGTTTGCATGAGGTTTTGATGTGCTTGTGCTCAGTCAGTATTTGACACAATTTAGTCAGCTGACAAAAGAAACTGAAAATATGTGAATAAGAGCAGCTCTGGTGAGGGTTCTGCTGTTTTTGCACTCTAAAGACACAGAGATCTGAGGCCCATTTGAGCCAGGCGGAGGTGGGATTTGGAGCCTATCAACAGTATCTGGGTCTGGTAGCCTGGATTTTCACAGCTCGATTTTCATCAGACCGACATGTTTACATGCATTTTTTACAGTTCAGTTTTAGCTGGATCAACACGGCTGCTGAGTGGACTAATGATAAAGCCCATATAACCTGCTTCCATTTATTCTTTTTACTGTTCGTTCGCTTTAAAAATGGGTAAAATGACAAGTGCATTAGCATTAATCCCATCACAGCAGGAGGAATCACGACTTGATACCACACTGTGCAAAAATATGTTGTTTTGTATAAAAGCTTCAGATTTTATGGACACCCCCTCAGAAGGGTAATTAGAGCTGTTTTCATTTGCAAACTTTTATGCTGCATTGTCTACATAGCCGGTCAATAATGAATCAATATATCTGAAATTAATTAATGATGCGGAGGAGGTGTAATTTAATTTTACAGAGATCAAAATTTCTTGCTTTTCCAGAGACATTTTCACTTTGCAGTAGCCTCACGAGAAAATAAATATCTTAAAGGTATGGTACCAAGATATTTAAGGCTGTTTCATTGTTTTAAAGTCAGTTTTGTTTGTGACGGGTTTGATGGTCAAAATAGTGCCGGTGTCATTTGTAATATATCATGAACTTTTTCTTGTGTGACTGGTGTAAGACTTTCAGATTTCAATCACAACCAGCTTGGTATATTACACAACTTATTTAATTAACTTCTGTTTCTTCGGTATAATGATGTATCTTTAGTCATTTAAAGACAAGTGCTGTGTGTTGGTCGTGAGCTAAATAAATGTAAACACAAAAAGGCTGTGTTGTATACAGTGTCGCTTAAAATGTTTCTGTATGTAGGCCATACCAACATGACATAACAATTCAGTGTGGCGCTCTTGAAAACAAAAGGACATTTGATTTTTGCTCGTTCTGTTCAAGGTTGAAACAAGCCAAACTAAAGTGTATTCCGCAACGGAACATTTGAAAGAGACAGACCAATGCTGCCCTCTGAGGGTAAACACATGGAATGGTGGGCATTAGTCATTCACATATTCAAATGATGACTCCGACAAAGCAAACAGCTTTATTTTAGTTAGAAAAATACAACAAAGGCCATTTTATTTGTCTTTTTGCAGTTAACAACATTTGCAGACGCCGAATCGAAATTTCCAACATCGTGTAACCGGCTGCAACACTGGATGTGTGTTCACATTATTTCAGATTCATTTGTACAGTCACCCATCAATTCCTTTTATTTCCCCTACTCATCCATCCCCCTATTCAGGCACAACATCTCCTATCCACTTTAGATACGGCGGATTGCCCTGCTCAATGGGCAGGCTGATGACCTCAGCCACCTCGTATGGATGGTTAGAGCTGGAAAAAAGAAACAAAAGGAGAAAATGGAATACAACGGCAGATAATAACACCAGTAACTAAAAGCTGCTCTCTGTGACTGTATGTGAATTAATGGACGAAATAATCAACACAATTCACTCATAAAAGTTGGATTAGAGTACAGTGGTTAAAAATAAACTTACCGGACATATTCAGCCAGAGAAGGCACCTTAGAACTTCTTGTTTTGATCATCTAAAATGGAAAAAAACTATCAGTAAACCACTTAAGACATGATGACTCAAAGTCTGGTTCCAGGACACAAAAACATAATCATGTTTTTCAAAGTTGTTATTGTTGTACTTTGACTCCAGCTTTTCATAAACAAGCGAAACTTTCATCATGAAGTTTCAAATTTAGTTGATCACATCTGGATGACATATGATAAACATTGAAGGATGAGACAGAAAGCTTGATATAAGAATCAGAGAAGGCTGGACGAATCAAAATGTTGTCCGTGTGTGTGCATGTAAAAATCTACATGGAACTGTTCCTTATAAAATGGGATGCCGTAAGAGAAGTAAGCTGAAACTTACCAAAAGAACCTCGTTATCCTCCTCTATATTACCCTGCCACTCGTATCTGGAGGAGCAAGACAAAAACAGTAACTATGATTTTTTTTAAATCAACAAATGAAACAGTTTTGTCTGACACTAAAAAGCAGCTAGACAATAACTTACATTGACTTAATTGCTGGAACAATGTTGACACAAGCTGCTAGTTTCCTCTCCACAATACCTCTGTGATACAGAAAAAAGACAGAAAATACAAACATTGCATAATGTCTTGTAGGACACCAACAGAACATATGATTCACAGTGGTCTCCACTTAAGGGAGGTGTCCCAATTTCTTTGTCCGAGACCCAATGGTGAGAACAGCAACATGGAGAAGTGAATTTCAGAGGTTTAACCTCCTCGCTTAGTGTTTTCGTGACTATAAAAAAACAGATGGAGGAAAAAACATTTTAGCACAAAGTGTTGCATCACCTCGCCAAATCTTTTGCAACGGTCTCATTAGGACAGGTGACAAAGGCGGCAGAGTGTGTGCCCGCTGTGTAGGTCTCAGAGGCCATGGAGAACGCTCTTAGTCCCACAGTCCTCAGCAACTGGAGCATAAACACGCTGAGCAGAGCCGTCTGGAAGGAGAAACCACAAACAGGGCAGGAACAGGAGGGAAATAAGTCCTGGGCACTTTAAATTCGTAGAAAAAATGTTAAACTATCTTAAACAACTTACCCACTCACCAAAATAAAAGCCTTTAGGGATCCAGCTCGCAGGGTCTCTGCACTGGGCAGACCAAAGCGCATCGCCTGCATGGGAGGTGCACAGACGTAAGTTAGCAAGCCAAAGCACACAAGCTCCCTGTTTCAAAACACTTTTTACTCTTTTATTTTTCTTTTTTAAAACATTTCCCGAAGCTTCCTCTGGTATATTGACAGATGCACAAAAATATAACCGTTAGAAGTCATTTTGATTCGTTTGCATCAAAGCTTGTTTCCGTCTGAAAATGATAAGTTATCTTGAAATAACACTGGACATCCATTGTCTGAATATGAAGAATTTAAAGGATGTCAAAATAAACACAACCAGCTGAATAAGTCCCAATTTTTACCTAATTGTAATTTTTTTTTGTAATGCTAACCTTTGCTAATTGCGAGTGTGAACTGTCACTTCACTGTTATGCAGATAACTATATTAAAAACAGCAGTACAAATCCATAAAACATCCAAATAAGTTGTTTCAATCGAATGAAAACTCGGAAAATGGTATGTGGGACTTTCGGTCTTAATTTACCTTCCGACAGCTGACTGTCTCTGTCTCTTCCAAGCTAATAACAAGCTTTACCGTAAATTGTTATGACCGTATGCTTGTGATACTGTCGCAAATCAGTCCTGTGCGGCAACGCTTGTTTTAGGCATAAGGATATTGGGGATGATATTGTTCATTGCACTATGAACATGATCGCGTGCTCATAATAAAATATGAACATATATGAAAACTGACTTGGGAGTCTGTCTTGAATGTAACCAAATAATAATTTTTTGTGTCTTTTTTGGCTGTTGATATAGATATGTGCATGGTTCATTCAGCAGTAACTGTTACCTTTAAATTCTTCAAATCTGAAATGTCCCTTCCTAAAGTTACAAGATCAGATCAGAAGGACTCCATGACATGTAATGTGATATACACATTTTACCTTTTTGTGTATATTCTCTGCCTCTTAACAAAATCTCAATCTAGAAAAATGTTGAAAAATGAGAAAAATGTTGGACTATATTGACTTTGTGTTAACACACTCATCTGAATGGTGCAGACCAACAAACTGACTAATTGTCTGGTTTTATTAAGGCACTAACACTTCAGCATAATACGTTTCAAATTGTGCTGGACTGACATCACTTGGTTGATGAAGAACCAATAGTTCAGTATACAGTATTGATACTCTACTGTAAAACAATACGTCACTGTAAGGTCAGGGTTCATCCCTGGATATAAAAAAATGCTAACTAAAAAAAAAGGATTAAACAAATTAAAAATGTCACACACACAAAGGCTGATTGACTTGATTTTTTGCCACTTCTACTTTGCAGTGGCAAGAAGCAACCACATGATGGCAGCTTTTACTCATCCAACATGACAAAAATAAATGCAATGATGAGCTCTGATAGCTATGTCACACACACACACATCCACACACACACATACAACAAATCAGTTCCTGTCAGCAGGGTGCCAGCAATGTTGGGGACTGTGTACACAAATTATGTTTAATATGTGTGTACTAGCGTGAGTGTGTGTGTGTGTGCAGGCCTGTGTGAGGTATATGTAATACAGTGCTTGTTTCTGCGCACGAGGCGCAGAGCCACACTGTTTGATAATATGCACCACCTCCCTCACACTCTTCTCTCTTCTCCCTCATCCTTGATTAAAGAATGAGACAAGCCTGTAACGCATGCCAACATCCGCACACAGGCGCACACAGGCACACACAGGCGCACACTCGCACGCTTGACATGTACACTTTGAACAAGACAAATTGAGCTGTAGCTGATGTGAGAGCTCTACCAGGAGCACATGGACACACATGAAGACAAGGCAAGGAGCATTAGAGGAGCTTGTCAAGCTTTTGCAAGAGAAATGAGGAGCGATGGAAGAAGAAGGGTGGGGGTGTTGGTAGTGGGAGGGGGACTTGTTCCCATGGAAACTGTGCAGTCAGCACATCTGTATGTGTTATGCGCTGTCCTCTCTTATTGGCATCTCATCTCTACCACAGCTGGACATGACAGCATGTGCTCACATGTATAAGAAGCCCACACATGCAAAGTACATTCATGTACTTGTTACCATGACAATGGAGTCTTCAACCCATGAGATGTTATTTCAGAATTTGAAATTAAACTGCATGTATATATAGATATGTATGGATGTGTGTGTGTGTGTGTGTGTGTTACAGAGACCAGACACACACACACATGTGGTGTGCCTGGTACTGGGCCTGGTACTGCTTTGCCCTCTCTGCTTCACCAGATTTTCTCTCTCTTTGCTGTTGTCTTTCTCCTTCTCTCTCCCTCTGTCTCCCGCCCCCTCTCCCTGAAAGCATGAGGAGAATCAATATGTTTTCAATTTGCAGCAGAGCCTTCCTCCTCTGCATTCTAATCAGGCTCCACTGGCCCTTTAACTTCCAGAGCAAGAGGGAGAGAAAGAGACAAGAAGTGGGTAAAGGCAGACTTCAGCCAAAGGACATTTCAATATGCAGCTAAGATGTCAACTTCAGACTCGGTGAAGCGTGCCTTTACAAACGTCTCTTTGCAGTTTTGCGACAGACCGTGTGAGGCACACTTCTATAAAGAGCTGAATGTTTCATGCTACATCTGTGTTTTCCGCTGCTCAACAAAGCACTACAATCCATTTCAGATTTTCACTCTTTTGCTGTGTTTGTAAAGTTCAATGTTTTCTTTATTTTTTTATTAAGTTCATATATTGTGCTTAATCCATCCATCCATTTTCTGTACCAGCCATTCCCATCAGGGTTGCGGAGAGCTGACAATGGGACGAGAGGTTGGTCATATTCTGGACAGGTTGCCAGTCCACTGCAGATTATACTTGATATGTAACTTCATATATCACATCAACAATTATACAAAATATAAAAAATAATTAATATTATCTAAATAATATTCATATTAATATTAAGTAATAATGTCAATTAAACTAATATGGTGCTAAGTTAGAGAAAAATCTTCTTTCTTAGCTTGTTGTATCATCTTACATGAGTGATGAAAGATCCTGGTGTTACTGTGTCATGTCCATTTCTTTACATTTTCTGTCCCTCCTTTGCTTTATTTTTTTTATCTAGTAAAAATAAATCTAATACAGTAGTAAACACATAACTTGTAAGAACTATTTTTTTTCAGTCATTAAGAGTCCCATAAAGGATATTTATTGTAAGAGAACAGGCAACCAATATGACCACCAAAACAAAAAAGTAACCCTTTCCTGTATCTAACTGTATTTGACTGCTCAGGTCTAAAGCCAAACCATTGTTTTGTCTCAGTTGGAAATTTTATGGTGCCATTTATTGGTGCCATTCATTATGGAGGAATCCCTTCCGCAACTAGAAAACCAAACCAAACACTGTCGAAATGTAACTGAGAGCATATCAAACCAATGTGTAACAGAGGCGTTACGTTGCTCTTTTTTATAATGGTTTATTTGGACAACTGCTGTGTAACTTCAGTGTTTCTGGAGCACCAATTAAACAACTTGGCTAGACAGATATTGTACCTGGTACCAACTGTATGTGGGACTAATTGAATAAAGTCAAGCTTTACTGTCTCTCAGTGGTACTTTGATAAAAGCATATCACAGATGTCTCATTAAGGCTTCAGTTAAATTGCTTTAATTTTTTAACAAAGGCACAACGAGTCTCCCTTTAACATGATGGATCTTTCCTTCACACAAGTGTTTTTTTTTAGCCTCCTTATCCGAATGCAAATATGAATATAACCACAAACTATTCAATGGGAGACAGTACCTAGTCACTGGAAGGTGATGAGAGTTGTTTCTCTTTTACTGTATTAATGCATTGTGCACAGGTTGTTTTTTGAACTGGGAGAAGCCGTTTGGTGGGTCAGGGAAATGATAAATATGTCTGTTCATTTCAGGTCCTAGTTGATGTCTTAGTACCAACGCAAATTAACTTTTGCCAACAACCAAGACTGTTGACACAAAGGTGAAAAAGTCTGTGAAGGTACCACTGTGTCAAAAGAAGTGGAAGGATGATTTTTCTTTGAAGTACAGGCCACAGGAATTAGGGAGAGGGAATAGCTATAAAAGGTCCACAAGGAATATGGCTTTCAGAGGTTATATTAGGCCTCATGTGTTGATAATAGCTGCATAGAAATATGATATTGAATTAAAGGGTTACAGATTTATGACCTATTACGTTTGCACCAGCTTTCTACCATGCCACAGCGGTTGTCCAGTGATGTCATGAAGGTGTTAAATATGCAAATAGTTAATTGGAAGAGTCAGTGCAATTACCAGTTTAAATGCCATGAGGGATTTTTTTTATTATTACTATTATTTTTAGAAATGATTGATCAAGTTTGAATGATCTTTTTATGACAGATTAGTTGCTCTAAAATGAGCATTAGTGTAGTCTGAAGTGTCGGTGCAAGCTTCATGTAAAGCCAGATGGACTGACTATTCACAACTTAGCTTACTTGTGTTCATTGTTATTCTCTTAAGAATTGCTAAGTGAGAGGAGCATCTGGTTCTGCAGGTATTATGAGCAGCATTAAATATTATAATACCCATGTGCCTCAGAGGCACTTGGTGTGTAAAATAAGGCAGCCAGAAGCCTAAATCAGAGTCCTAATAATTTCAGAATTTATCAGTGGTACAGGGGTAATTTCTCCCAAACATGGTGATCACAGGGATAGTTTTTGGTTATACATCTAACGGAGAGACTCCAACTGTGAGTCACCTTGCACTGTGCATGCACAAAATAAAAGGTAGGAATTAAAAAACAAATATTCCGGACCCAAACTCTTTGGTTGAACCTTGCTATAATGTGATGATGTTTGCAGAAGTATCCATAGAGATTTTTGTCATTTAAGCACTGAGACAAACTGTACCACATCACAGAGTCAAAACAAAGAGTAAAGACTTGGAAAACTAAGAGAGGGAGAGAAAAAAAAAATTGTTGCTCTTTGTTTTCTATAGCTCAATTAACACCTACTCATGAAAGGTCAACCTCTCATTCACCCAGATACTGAGCTAAAGCAGAAGCACATCCCAGTACCAGTAGAGCTTGTGGGACAACACCACATGGGATTGAAAATCCACAGCAATTAGTTTGCCCCTCTGCTCTTTACCATGCTCATCTTCACATATGTGCTTATTCAAACAGCACATGTCTTTTTGACCCTTAAACAGTCACAGATTTATTTATTTAAGTACTGATTTTATAAGACCGAATTTTAAATGTCGGTTGTTTTCTTGTGAGGTACGCCTATATAACTTTAACCCCACTTATAAAGCCGTGATTAATTCCATCTTATTTAAAAATATACTTAAATGTGACCCACTGTGATATCTACAACACAAAGCAAAGACCTTGGGTTCATGTAAAGGATATATACGCAGTTAGACCTGAACCTCGGTTCAGTTGCTCAGTCATGTACATTTCAGACATAAACGAGTGGGCAGTTTATGCCCTGAGAAAAAGTATTCATTCATAATGTCTGTATCGTTCATTTAAAAATTCAAAATCCTTTTACAAAGGCAGTGGCTGAGTGAATTACCAATATTTATGCAAGTATTTGACCCCAGCTCACTTAGCTAAGATTGGCAAACAAAGCATAAAATGAAATCAAACAATCGACAGAG